TTTTATTCACTGTTCCTGGAGAGTGCCTGCTGTGCAGTGCATACCAAATCTTACATGTTGAATGGACGAGTCTGTACTTCTGGCCACTGTGTCTTAGACTTACCAGCACTTGGGAACTCAGTGAGTCAGGGTTCAGGCAGGTAAGAGTGAACCAGATGACCAGGGGCAAGTAGCACGAAGGCCCCAGGTTCCGAGATATGAAGGGAAGTGCCTGAAGCAATGTGATGTTTGCCCTGCCCGTGGGGGACAGTGACCAGGCAAGAAACAGGCCCAGTGCCTCCCAGTCTTAATGATTTTCAAGGGTACTAGATATCTGGATTTTTATGTGAAATATCTTTTTATTGTTGTTGTTGTTACTTATTTATCACTGTGTAACAAGTTACCTCAAAAGTTAAGGGCTTTCAGAGTATGGTGGACGCCTGCTTCCAGTGACCCACTCCCTCCAGCTAGATGCCACCTCCTAAAGTTTCTAGAACCTACTGAAAACAGCACCATCAGCTGGGGACCAAGGCCCCAACACAAGAGCCTTTTTGGAGGATGCCTCCCGTCCAAATCATCACAGTTTGGATATTAAGAAGATATTTCCTGCTAAGTACTTTGAAGAAGATGGAGTGCTGAGATGGGGAGAGCCTGGGTGTGAGGTGGTGGTTGGATGGGGCGGTCAGTGTGTGTCATCCAAGAGCTGCTACTTGAAAGGGTGGACGGGGACGTTAGATAAACGTGTAGGGAAGAGCATTTTAGAAAGAGAGACCAGCAAGGGTGAAGGTTCTGAGGCAGGAGACGCTTGACTGAGGTAAAATTCAAAAAGGGACGTGGGCTCAGCAGAGAGAAAGGGGGAGGAAGAGAGAGAGAGAAGAAGGAAAAGAAAGAGGAGAAGAAGATAAAAGAAGAAGAAAGAGGCAAAGGAGAAGGAATTAGGAGGAGGAGGAAGAGAAGGAGGAGGAGGAGAAATAAGAGGAGAAGGCACAGGCTAGCTCACTGTGGAGTTAGATGGAATCAGCACTACTGCAGGGTTGTAGGAGAGGCATAGGACGGCCTGATAGAGTTTATAAAGATTGTTCTGTGCTTCTGAAGATGCACTGACAAGGACCCAGCATCACTTCTGTGGCATGCCTGCCCAGGCTGCATAACATGCACCTGATTGCAAGCGAACAGCAGACAAGTCCACTGGGGGACTGCGTCAGCCAGCTCTCCTTCCACATAACGGGTGCCTGAGATAATAACTTGTTTTGGCTCACAGTCTTGGAGGTTTCAGCCTTGATCAACTACTGGCCCATTGCTTTGGGCCTGTGGGGAGGCAGCAAGCACATCACAGAGGTGGTGGTGGTGGTCGTGGTGGAGCAAAACAGCTCACTTCATCATGGCAGGGTGCAAAAGAGAAAGAGAACAGAGCCAGGGTCCTGCTATCCCCATCAAGGACCCAGGCCCAGCCAGGAGTGGTGGTGCACCCCTGCAATTTCAGCTACTCAGCAGATGGAGGCAGGAGGATGAAGAGTTCAAGGCCAGCCTGGGCAAAGTTAGAGATACTATCTCAAAAACGAAATACAAACAAACAAAAAAAGGCTGGGGGCATAGCTCAAGTGACAGAACACTTGCCTAGTGACGCTTCTGTTCAAAAAAAGAAGGTGGGGGGACATAACTCCGATTAATTAAAGAACTTTCACTAGGCCCCACCTCTTAAAGGCTCCACCACCTTCCACTAGTGCCATCCTATAGCAGGGACATTCTACACAATAATTCTGCCCACCAAATACTCTGCAGAAGTGTCAAGGTCATGAAACACCGAAGGACAAATTATTCTAGGTTAAAAGAGACTGAGGAGACCGGCAGATAAGTGACACGAGTGAGACACTGCAACTAAGGTCTGCAGAGTAGTCAACAAAAGAATAACTGAGCCACGAGGGGCAGCAGTTCCAGACTATCTCTGACCTAAGATGGACCACTCCCCCATCCTCAGCAACCCCAAAAAAGAACTTTTGGGATATTGTTCCTCAAGTGGTGTTTGAGGCAGGTTGGCCTCCCCCTCTTGGCTCAAGAGCTCCTCCCCTAGCTCACAGGTGAGAGGAGCCAGGTGATGACATAAACGTCTCCCCACCTCCAAGTTCAAGGTGATATAAATATGAGACCCTGGCCCTTCTTCCTCCCTTCTCTCACCTGGCAGGATGGGTGACTTCCCTTCCCTCCACAAAGCTATTCTGCTTCACCCCACCCACGTGCTCTGCTTGGTGTCTTCCATTTGATGCAGAAGGACCAAGATCTTCTGAGAGCAATAATTGCCGAAAACATTTCGAGGCTGATCCCCTGGTATTGATCATTGTACAAGGGCTGTGTTAGCGGAATGTCCTTTGGTTTTAAGAAATACGCACTGAGGGGCTTTGTGTGCTAGTCCCTGTCAAACATTCCACAGGAAAAGTCATATATATGCATACACCGTTATGATTTTAAAAATCACATTTATGAGATGGGTACTGGGGGGCTGGGATCAGGAGGATCGCAATGCAAGAAACTTTGTCAGGGCTGGCGGAGTGGCTCACATGGTAGAGCGCTGCCTAGCAAGCATGAAGCTCTGAGTTCAAACCCCAGTACTGCCAAAAAAAAAAAAAGTCTGTGAGACCCCATCTCAATGAAAAACAAAGCTGGGTGTAACCAGCTTTAAATTGGAGAACTGAGGTCTGGGGGCTGGCCTGGGCAAAAAGTGAGATCCTATCTCCAAAAATAACCAGAGCACAAAGGGGCTGGAGGTGTGGATCAAGCGGTAGAGCACCTGTCTCACAAGTGTAAAGCACTGAGTTCAACCCTGTAGTGCCAAAAACAACAACAACAAAAAATCCCATTTATGCTGTGATTTTGAGGGAGAGGAAGGAGGAAGGGAGAGATATGGACAAATGGAAAAACGAGTAGTGTTTAACAGTTGGGGGCCAGAAGGCAGAACATGCCGAAATCCTTTGTTCCACTTGGCAACATTTTGTCAAGTCTGCACAAATTGCTCTGTGTGTGTGGCGCAATTCCTTTTTTCCAGCCTTGGGAATTGAACCCAGGGCCTCTCACATACTAAGCGGCTGCACTTTTGCAAGTTTGCGATCCGTGTTTGATAGCAAACACAAGTATCTCTGTAAACTGTGAAGCCATAGACAAACAAGAGCCTGGACGGTGTCAGCAGGGAAAATATTACCTGTGCTGGCTTGAGTGTGCTTTCCTATTTCTCCTGTGCCTTTGAAGATCTGTCTCCACAAATCTGAGTTACTAACAGACACAGCTTCGCTTAGTGAACCAGCCACCTGGGGGAGCCAATGAGTGGGTCAGAGGCTACAACAGCCAATTCTCTGGGCTTGGCACACTTCCTGGGGAGAAAATACCACTGGTGTTCTCACCACCCAGGGCACAGCGGTTAATACGTTGCTGCTGTTGCTTGAAATGCCTTTCTAAATCAGGAACTAGAACATTGCAGGTAAAGTTAAGTTTTCTCTGACCTCTCTCCCAGGTCCATCACATCCCTTTCTATCCTCTCTTGAAGTGACAACCATCAGAATGTAGCTTTATACCCTTGCAGCCAGTTAAAAATTTACGTACACATATCTAAGACCTAAGTTTTATTAAAATGTACACAAAAGGCAGTATATGTACAACGTCTATGTAACATTACCCAAGTGCTGGACTACGCCAAGACACTCATTACACCTTTCTTCCACGTGCTGCTTTTTCTCAACGCCATCCTTTGCCATCTACTGCAATGGGTGACCTTCGTGTGAGTTTGACTCTAGGGCCTCTCCCTAGAAATGGGAATCCAGGGCCCTGAGCTACTGACATTTGACTTTTGTTAGTTCTGTTGCCCCTGGGGTGGATGGTTTAACCCTGCCACCAGCAGCATCCGGATCTGCTTGGCCGTCCCCTGTGGGTCCTTTTGGGGAGCCAGAGACCTAGGTTCCCAGCAGGCGACTGAATCTCAGGTGTTCAGGACCCAATTTGCGTCACCTGCATTCCCAACAGACTGGCCAGCGGTGTGCTCAGGTCCTGATGGCTCACTCCCTGGCCATCGGACAGTCGTGGGGTGGAATATTTCCTGAGGAACTGGACAGTCTGCACAGGGCCACCATTTTATTTGCTCTAGTTGCCAGAAGAGGATGCTTTGGGGCAAGGGAGCATGCGACAGTTGCAGAACCCGCGGCAAGTATCTGTCCAGACGCAGGAAACAGGGCTGGGACTTAGAAGAGGAGATGGACGACTCCACCTGGCCCATCCACTGACAGCAGCGATGGCAGCTCCGGGGCTCGCGGGTTCCCATTTTGTGCCTTGCCCACGGCACCCGCGGGCGGTGTCTCCTCCCCTCCCCTCCCGCAGCAGGGCCACCAGGGCGGACACCCGAACGTGGTGACTGCAGCCCGGCCAGTGGCCAGGATGAGAGCCTCTGCCGAGCTGCAAACATTTCATCACCCTGTCTGCAGCACCCGGCCATCAAGGCGCTGACCATGAGATGGCGAGACAGGGGGGGAGGCACGGGTCCTGGCGCGGATGACCGCCGCAGCAGGACAGACACAGGCCGGGCCTGGCGGAGAGGACGCACGCTCGTTCGTTCATTCATTCATTCATTCATTCTGCGGGCGCTGGGCGCGGCGCTGACCACGTGACTGCCCTGCCCGCTAGGGAAGTCCAGCGTGTCTGGGGACAGGGAGCGGCGACAAGGACCGGCGACCGGACAGGGGCAGATGCGCATGATAAAGGTAAACACGGTTTGCGGAATCTACTGCACCACCCTTTCCCGCTTAGGATCACTCAGCGTGGCCACCGCCCGCATGACTGGCGGGAGCAGGGCGCGCCACCTGCGGTCGGCGCATGCGCGCCGTGAGCCCGCCCTCTGAGCAGGCCCACGAGGTTCCGCGGCTCAGCGTGCGTGCGCGCTCCCGCTCGGTTCCCCCACTCCCCCGCCCTCCGCCCTCCCCACGTGACCCACCACACCTCCCTCGGCTATCCAGGCGCAGGTCGGCAGAGGCAGCCGCCTGATCACGGGCTGCGCGTGCGCGCGCGGGCCGCGTGGTTGGGCGCGGCGCCGTTGCCCCGCCCCGCGAGGCCCCGCCTCCCGCGCGCCGGCGTCGGCTGCGTCTCCGGCATTTGAATCGCGCTTCCGCCATCTTTCCAGCCTCAGTCGGACGGGCGCGGAGACGCTTCTGGAAGGTAGCGGTGGGGCCGGGCGGGCTGGGCGCGGGCGGCGGGGATTCGGGGACCGTGGCGGGAGGACCGGGGGGGTGGGGCGAAGGGGTCGAGGTGGAGGCGGAGGGAGGGCAGCGGTTGTAAAGACGCGGCGGCGACAGCGGGCCGGGTCGGGGTGCGGGGCCTGCGGTCCTCTGTCGTCGCTGGTCGCCATCCTCCCATCCCCCGCTCCCGTCCAACCCCCTCCGTCCTCCGGCCCTCGGCGGCCCGTGCCCGTCCCCGTCCCCGTCCCGCCTCCTTCCCGCGCGCGCCGCCCGCCGCCATGGCGCCGCGCGGCCTTTGTAAGGCGCACGTGCCGCCCGCTCTCTGCCCGCAGGATCGCCGCGATGGCCGCGCAGGGAGAGCCCCAGGTCCAGTTCAAGGTGCGTGCCGGGGGGCGGGAGGCGGGGGACGGCGGGAGGGCGCGGGGCCGGCGGGGACCCGGCTGACCGCCGCCGCCGCGTGTCCCCGCAGCTCGTCCTGGTGGGCGATGGTGGCACCGGGAAGACGACGTTCGTGAAGCGTCACCTGACGGGCGAGTTCGAGAAGAAGTATGTAGGTAGGTGGGCGGTAGGCGGGCGCCGGCGCGGGCGGGGGCGCGGGCCGCGGCTTCCCGGGCTCACGGCTGGCTGGCTGTCTCTCTGTCCGTCCGTCCCCCCCCGCAGCCACCTTGGGCGTCGAGGTCCATCCGCTGGTGTTCCACACCAACAGGGGGCCCATCAAGTTCAACGTGTGGGACACGGCCGGCCAGGAGAAGTTCGGCGGCCTGAGAGACGGCTACTACATCCAAGGTGGGCCCTGGGGGGTGCGGTTCCCACGTGCGGGGCGGGAAGGGGGGACCCGCCGCCCCTCGGGTGGCCGGGCTCTTGCTGTGTCATCCCGTGTCATCCCAGCCAGCGCGGAGGGCCGTGGTGAGTGAGGGAGGACGGCGGCCCCTGGGGACGCTGCCCCTCGCTGGACCCCGCGGAGCTGGGCTGCTAGAAAAAACGAGAGAGAGAGAGAGAGACGTGAGTGGCCGGGCTTTGCACCTGGACGAAGATTAGCGCGTTTTCCTTAAATGCTTCATTTTAAAAGTAGGAAGGATGGGCTGGCTGGGTGGAGCGGCTCTAGCGGTAGAATGCCTGCCTCGCAAGTGTGAGGTTCTGAGTTCAGACCCAGTACACCAGTACTGAGTTCAAACCCAGTACTCCCCTCCGGGCAAACAGAAAGAGACTACTTACCTTTTGGAATCTTACTTTCCTGGTGAGATGTTTTGGAAGATTCTTACTTTTTTTATTTTATTTTTATTTTGCTTTAAGCTTGTACAGGTACGTAGCACAAGGATCCCCACCCCACTTAAAATTTTAACCCCAAAAACTTACACTGTACATATCCTGAAGTTTGCCTTTGTCGTGGTCAATATATAGAGTTAACCTGGGACTTGAAAAAATAAAGGCATAATATTCTCTAGCGGAGTCAGCTATTGAGGGTCTTTATTTCTGCGGGGGAAGAAATTCCTAGGCAGGCCTCGCTGGTCATAAGAGAGGTGGGTTTTCTAGAATGCTGATGGATCACTTTTTACACACTTGGGAGATGAGACAGTATTAATGAAGTGTTTTGGCAAAAGTGAGAATAGATTTGATACAGTAAGCTGGTTTTTGCTGGTCTTCAGGCTTTTCATATTAAGAATTGTAATAGTGTGTAGTAACGCAACTTAACATTTCTAGCATTGGAAGAGATGTTTGAGTAGATGTAGAGGACCCAAAGTTAGGCCAAGACAGTGAATCCTCCTCCTTCCTTGATGATTCTTTGTCCAGATGGTATACTCTTAGGACTACCTTAATTGCCCTAAATCTTTTTCAGCCCAGTGTGCCATTATAATGTTTGATGTAACATCAAGAGTTACTTACAAGAACGTGCCCAACTGGCACAGAGATCTCGTACGAGTTTGTGAGAACATCCCCATTGTGTTGTGCGGCAACAAAGTGGATATTAAAGACAGGAAAGTGAAGGCAAAATCTATTGTCTTCCACCGAAAGAAGAATCTTCAGGTGTGTTGAAATTGAAACCTACTGAATCATGACCATTAGAAGTGATCAGTGTGTCTTATGTGTGGATTAAAAAGGACACTTGGGAGCTGGGCATCGGTGGCTCACCCCTGTAATTAATCTCGGCTACTTGGGATGCCAATATCTGAAGGATCTCCATGTGAGGCCAGCTCAGGCAAATAGTTCTTGAGGAAGCCCACCCCAGACCCCATCTCCAAGATACCCAGAGCAAAATGACTGGAAGTGTGTGTGGCTCAAGTAGTAGAGCCTCTGCTTCACAAGTGCCAAGCCCTTGTTCCCCCCACCCCCAAAAAAAAGAACAGTTGGGATGTCCTCAGAATAATCATTGCTTCAGTAATGAAGTTTTAAAAAGTTGACTTCTCTTTGTTTTAAACAGTACTATGACATTTCTGCCAAAAGTAACTACAACTTTGAAAAGCCTTTCCTCTGGCTCGCTCGAAAGCTCATCGGAGACCCTAACTTGGAGTTTGTCGCCATGCCTGCCCTTGCCCCCCCAGAGGTTGTCATGGACCCGGCTTTGGCAGCTCAGTATGAGCACGATTTAGAGGTATGGTGCCCGTGTGTAGTTTAGTGCTCAGAGTGGTGCGGTGTTCTTGGCAGTTTTAACCTGGAGTGTTGGTCTTGGCCGTCTGTTTGTTCCTCTAGGTTGCTCAGACGACTGCCCTCCCGGATGAGGACGATGATCTGTGAGAAAGTGAAGCTGGGGCCCGGCGTCAGAAGTCTAGTTTTATAGGCAACTGTCCTGTGATGTCAGCGGTGCAGCGTGTGTACCACTTTATTATCTAGCTAAGCAGAACATGTGCTTCATCTTTGGGATGCTGAAGGAGATGAATGGGCTTCGGAATGAATGTGGCAGTTAAAAAACCTTCATTTTTTGGACTTGCATATTTAGCTGTTTGGAACGCAGTTGTTTCCGTCTTGAGTTTCAAAGATAAGACTGCTACAGTCACATCACAACATTCAGTGGTGAAATCTTGTTGTTACTGTCATTCCCATTCCTTTTCGTTTAGAATCAGAATAAAGTTGTATTTCAAATATCTAAGCAAGTGAACTCAACCCTTGTTTGTAATACTAAATAGGGAAGTTGGTGTCATGTTAATACTTGAAACTACCTTTGCTAAATGTGACTTAACTGGAAATCCATTAGGTTAGTGTCTTGTGTCTACTTTGTGTACATTTGAAGCATGTCTCAAAAACTGGCTGTGATGGGTTAACTGAGCGTTCCACTTAGATAGCAGTTGAGAAGTGCAAATGCGGTGTAGTTAGGCCAGTCACATCTTCCCCACCTCTGTAGTGTGTATCGCCCAGGAGAGAGCTTGCTGAAAATCCATGAGACCTGTCAGAAGTTGGGTGTTAGTACAGTGGTTGATGGCAGTGGGGGAGAATTCTGTGGCCTGTTTCATGCTGCCTTTTGTATCAGTGTTATAGACACCTTGTGTCAGGACTCCAGGAAGATACTCGTGTTTGCCACTGAGTCGGGTACTCCCAGGCTTCAAAGAGGTCTTAAAGGTAGGACACACCACGGCTTTTGATGTTTTTCCCTAAAGGACTTTTGTAGGCAGTGCAAGTAAGGAACTAGACAGATTGATGGGAAGACTGCTGCGGCCAACAGTACGATGGACTCTTCTAGGCAAAAGAATAAGCCTTTATCCTGGCGTGGTTCTCACATTGGTGCACAAATTAGGTCTTTCACTAAGGAGTTAGGTCCCGTTAGAATCCTGAGCCAGCAGCAGGAATCTTAACAGTTAAGCCATTTATTTCCCCTGTGAGTAGTGCTCTAGTCCAGTCTGCCGAAGTCTCCCTCGATGTCTTCAGATTATTATTTGCCTGCTGGAGAGAAGGTAGAAAGGGTCATTTACAACGAAAAGGGTAAACGAGTGAAATCTAACTGTATAAACTGGCTTCAGTAGATTGATTTAGAGATCTGATTTGCTACGTATGCCGTGCTACTTTCAGAACCAGGTGTTAAGTCTATGTGATAGGAAGTTCCCATTATTCAGTATAAGGTATGTGCTTGTAACCTTAACGCAGAGTGCAAGTACCTTACTGACATGCTGAATCTGTAACAGTTCAAAGTTTGGAAGCTACTTGTTTAACATGGAGTGGGAGGGAACTTAGTTATTCATTGCAAGAAATAATTGTAAAATATACTCCTTCTATTTTGCCTGGTTTTTCTGAGTCATCTAGTATTTGCTATAGGAGCAGAGAGCACAGATTTCAGGTTTATCAAAAGTTAGATCTGCCGAATATTTAGCAGAGATTGTCTTGTGGGTGAGGTGCAGATTCTGTCCCATTTATATATGTGGGAAGTTATGTCCATTTAAAACTTAGTGGGGGAAGGCTTGAAAGCTTCGGTCTGACGTTAGTTACTGCACACTCTAGCTTTTTAGAACAAAATGACTAGGGAGAGCTGTAATGTGTATATATTTAAAAAAATTGAGCGTCAGTAAGAAGGGGAAGAGCAAAATGTGTTGAAAAAGCAGTGTCATTTTGTGCTAAAGCCAATTTTTTCTTTTGTATTTGATGGAGCTGGGGTTTGACCTTGGGGGCCAAATATTTGCAGTATATCTGCTTTACCACTTGATCCTCACCTCCGGTTTTAAAACCAATTTTTTAAAAAACTAGTGGGTTTTGGGTTTTACCAATCTTTATGAAACATTTGAAAAAGAGCAAAGATTTCCAAAACGACATTAAACTTGGTAAGAAGACTGGGTCCCTGGCTGGTCACCTGCACCTGAAGTATCAACAATGGAAGGTTCCCCCTAAGCAAATGGCTGAAGACTGAAGCTGAGTTTGCTTTGGGGTGAGGTGAGGAGCAGACGCCCTGTACTGCTTCATTGATACCACCGTCGCATGATGGGCACTTAGCCTGCCAGCATACCTGGAGACCAAACAAAGCCACCGTGACAGGCAGGTACTCTGCTGGGAGCGACACTCAGATCTTAAGTCCGACCAACCCTTTACCTCCAGCTCAAGGTTGTGTTGGGCAATGAGATGCACCTAGCCACTTTACTCCTTGTATCTCGCCTGTCTGGTCAGTGTGGATGGAGCCCCAGGTGGGACTCCCAGGCTGGGCCTCCTGAGGGCTGCATTTGTGTCATTGCTATTGAGATCACACCCACCTCTTCAGAGGCCAGGTACCAGTTCTTCCAGGGGGGTTGTGTTAATGGCATCAGTGTCCATACCAGAGTCCCATTCCACTCCCTCAGCCCTAGTGAACCCTGTAAATTTACAAGTTACCTTCTCATCACTATAAGGTCAAAGGTCTTGTCTGTCAGTTGTGTCCCTAGTGATTATTAGGGCTCTGCTCTAGGGGGAACCTGAAGAACAGATGGGGTTGTCAGGAGGGGCCAGGCAGGACATGAGCCAGGAAGATCTGGTTATCCTGAATCATGGTAGCACTTCCCTGGGACTTGTAGTTCGCAACATCTCTTGTCACTTGTCTCAGTTGTTTTCTTTAGAGAGCAGGGAAAGAGGAACCTGTGGCAAGGTGACACTTGCCACATGGGGGACACAGAGTCAGTGTGGTATGATGCTTCATGTCCAGCCACAGGAACTGGACCAGAAACCCTGGGTTTAACGGGCTCAGTCCCTGCCTTTGAGAAAGAGAGTGCGCCATGAAAGTTGTCCTTTTGTAAAGTGGACAGTTGACTCCATATTTCTTGCGAGCAGTGGCCTCATTGGAGGCCTGCGAGGCACAGGGTGAGTTCAGGTGAGAAGGCAGACACCACACTGGAAGTATCCCTGGAATCCTGTCTGGGAGGCCTGGGAAGGGGCAGTGGTCTGAGGGACAGGGTACTGGGAAAGCTGGGGAGGGAAGAGGGGACCACAGGGGTGACTGCCTCCTCAAGCCAGTTTACATGTCTGGTACCTAGAATATGGAGGCCACTGGAGGCCCAGAGCTGCCTTCTAAAAGCTGTGGCAGCAGAAGTTTGTGTCCAGGGGCAGCCAGTGACAGCTGGAGTCTGCTCTTGTGGAAAGAACAGTGATGTTCCAGAAAGGGAGTGCACTGTGGCTGTGGCAAAGTTACCTCAACAGACATCGCTGCAAGGGAAGCCATGCGAGTGCCGTCCCATCCCAACTCTCAGATCGCTTCTAATCTGAGGTGGGTAGAAGAGTGCAGGGGCTCCACTAGGGGCACGGAATCACCTCCTGACCTCACTGACGCAGACCTCTCGGCAGTGCACGGTGTAGACAGACCAGGCCAGGGGTCCTGTGGGGTGACCAGGTCCTGCTGGATGCCAGACTGTTAGGAAGGCACTTTGTGGGCAGCACAGACTTGAGCCAGCCCAGCAAGGTGAGCTGGTGGCTGTTTGTAGGTAACATTTACTTTTTGCCTTTTGTCTGTCCCTAACATGTCTGAACATTTTTTTCCTCCCAGAGTGAAAAAGCCATATACTTTGCACAGTAACAGTTTAGGAATTTGAATAGTTAAAACAGTCCCCACGTTTTCAGTTGACATTTTGTCATACGTCATTTCAAATGTTTTCTCAAAAAGAGGGGGCTGCATGCTGGTGGCTTGTACCTCTAAACTTAGCTGTGCGGGAGGCTGAGATCAGGAGGATCTTGGTTTGAGGCCAACCTGGGCAAGGAGATTGGGAGACCCCATCTCCAAAATAACCAGAGCAAAAGAGACTGGAGGCGTGGCTCAAGTGGTAGAGCATCTGCTTTGCAAGTGGGAAGCCTGAGTTCAAACCCCAGTCTAATCAAATAAATACTCTTACCAAAAAAAAATAAAAGAATTCTGCTTCATAATAGTTCTACACTACGTTTTTTTTTGTTTTTTTTTTTGAGGTACTGTCAGGGCCTACACCTTGAGCTACTCCACCAGCCCTTTCGTGTGTGGGTTTTTTTGAGTTAGGGTCTTGCGAGCTATTGGGGCTGGCTCTGAACCACAATCCTGATCACTGCCTCCTGAGTAGCTAGGATTACAGGCGTGAGCCACAGCGCCTGCTAGAAAACCGAAATTACTGTTTTGAAAACTCGTGCGTGTGCATACGTGTGCCTGTGGGTGTTTTGCCACATTAGGGTCAGTTGTTTGTGCCCAGCACTGGACGTGGAGCAGGATGCAGAAGTTCGGATGCATGTCAAATCAAACACACTCGGTGCTCCAATCCTGCTCCTGTTCTCTGAGGTGCCAAAGTGATGAGTGTCCTTCCCGATTCTGCAAGTGTTCATGTACTGTTAATCTGGAGCTCAGGGAGTACTGATTGGTGATGATGGTGATGGATTTATAGGGGCAAAATCTAAATAAAAAAAATAGGGCTAGCAAAGAAAATGTGTGACCAGAAGGAAACTGAGGGGCTCAATTGCAAAGGGAGCATTCAAGGGGGCTCATCCCAGGGTCCAGATGCAGAAGAGTGATGGAGGGCCAACCGGCTTCCCTAGCTAGCATTTTGCCATTTAACTCTTATTCTTTACTTTTTGTTTTGTTACAGTGACCAGCCATTGGGTAAATAAGGGCTAAGATTGCCTAATTTTTTTCCTAAAATGACTTTTGGATACCTTGTTGCTAATTAAGCCTCACCAGCCCAGACTAAAGAAGGATGAGGAAGAAGGAAATATAGGGGGTCTGTCACCTGAGTCTTTGGGATTGTTAAACTTTGTTGTAACACAGAATTGTTACTAACTCATGTTCATAAATTGGTCGCTTAGGAACCTAGTCCCAACCTCAACCTACTTCCTCAGAACGCATGGGGGCTGGCTCTACAACCTCTGCATGGGCAAAAGTGATGCTCTGGTCCCCACAGAACAGCAGAACCATGTGTGCTGTTTCTTCGTGGCTGATGCTGTGAAGGCAGAGTCTCTGATGCTTTCACCCACGAGGCCAATGAGGTGACCTCAGACCCTTGGTGACTCATTTCATGACTGGGCACATGCTACCATGATGCATGGGGGGGGTCTGTTGGCATGGAAACAGGAAGTGGGAATGGTTTTGAGGGGTGGTCATTTAATTATCACGTTAGAAATGATTTTTAGCCGTTGTTATAAAAATGATTTGCATTTTTCACACAGTTGCAATCAATATTTTTGTCTGTATCA